GAAGTTGCAGAATCTCCATCCATGAAGACATTCAAAACTCCACAGGGAAATGTTCTGAGCAACCTGGTCTAGGTGACCCTGCTTTGAGCAGAGGGGTTGGTGATAGCCAAACACTCCTACTGACCTTAACCATTCTGTGTTCTTTGAAATGCATTTAACTGGTGTAACTTCATAATCACTTTTTGCCTTGTGTTGTCTCTCTGCATACATCAGAAATTTTATGAGCTTTCCAGACTACCAGATACATACTGAAAACCAGGCAAGATATCTGGGCATTTGTGTTCTATTCATGCTGTGAATTATGAAGTGCCTTACAAGACAACTTTTCTGAAATTTTCTGTTCACCACATTTTTAGTAGCAGGTAAGCTGAAGAATATATGCTGCTGTTTCTAAGTATTTGTCCTGGTTTCGGCTGGGAGACAATTAATTTTCTTCTAGTAGCTGATACAGTGCTGTGGTTTTGGATTTAGTATGAGAATAATACTGATAGGACACTGATGTTTTAGTTGTTGCTAAGTAGTGCTTACTCCCAAGTCAAGGACTTTTCAGTTTCCCATGCTCTGCCAACAAGGAGGTGCACAAGAAGCTGGGAGGGAGCATGGCCAGGAGAGCTGACCCGAACCAGCCACAGGGGTATTTCATACCATAGAACGCCATGCCCAGTATATGAACTGGGGGCAGATCAGTGTTCAGGGCTGGGCTGGGCATTGGTCAGCAGGTGGTGACCAGTTGTATTGTGCATCACATTTTTTTCCTTGGATTTTATTTTTCTCTGTTATTTCCTTTTTTATTACAATTATCATTATTATTTATTTCAATTATTAAACTGTTGTTATCTCAACCTATGGGTTTTACCTTTTTCTGATTCTCCTCTCCATCCCACCAGGATGGGGGGGAGTGAGTGAGCAGTTGCATGGTACTTAGATGCCAGCTGGGGTTAAACCATGGCAGTATTCCAAAATCATCATGCACAACACTAACTTTATAAATGCTATCGTGGAACTAAAAGTGTATTTAGCAATGAAAATAATAGAAAAGCAAAGGGAAACAGATAATTGTAATTGTCAAAGGAGACAGAAGTTAAATTACAGCTTCAGAGGGGCCCACATACATGCTAAAATTCCCTAAGAAGCTGAAAGAGATGTTTTTGTACGTTTGCTGACACAGTAGCATTCTTCACTATGAATTATAACTTCTCATACTTTTATCCAAGGGAGGAATTTTGTTCTTTCCACAGATTCTGAAGAAGTGTTTTCAAAGCACATCAGGGATCTTACCTACGCTGTTTGAAAGCCACACTGAAACAAAGCTAAACCTTACAGCTGCAGTTTGACTGACAGAGTGGGAACATCACAGCTTGAAAACGGAAGTTACAAATCATCCTGAAGCAGTAAAATCAAAGAATCATAGAATCATGCAGGTTGGAAAAGACTTTTAAGATTGAATCCAACCATAAACTAGCACTGCCAAGTCCACCACTAAACCATGTCTCTTAGCACCACATCTACAAGTCTTTTAAATACTTCCAAGGATGGTGACTCTGCCACTTCCCTGGGCAGCCTCTTCCAACAGCAGTAACTTCAACAAACAGTTAATATTAGCTTCCCTTTTAGAACTTACTCAGCACTATCCGTCTTTAGCAAGAGAATGCCAAATATACTGGAAAAAAAATGAAATGAGTGTTTCTGCAAAGTTTCAAGAAAACTCAAATTATTTTATTCACAAAAGCAGAAGTCAATAAAAATATAGATATCCTGATCAGTTTTACAGACCATGTTCATTTCTTCTCTCCTTCACTGACAGGCAAAGCATCATGAAAAAAAAAAAGTAACAAGCATTTACATCACAAACCATTATTAACACAGAATCATGTATATGAACAAATATTTTAAAGTTTTTGCATATAATTATAAATACAAAAAAAAATTACAGTTCCAACAAAACATTCCAAGAAAAACAGCTCTCTTGTTCTTTCCTTTTTGTTTCTGTGCTGTACTGTTTTTCTGTGGTGAAAAGAGTATGTGCTGTCTCACTGGCATTTAACAAATCGTTTTTGGTTTAAACTGAAATTTAGCGTGAGCTCACCGCACTCCTTAAAGTGTTTTCTTTGAATTCCAAACCCCTTTATAGATCAAATCAGGATGTTTGTGCTAGATTACTCAAGTGATGCCAAAAAAACTATCCACATTGCTACTAACAGCATCAAGGAAGCTTTTTTTTTTTTTTTAAATTATGGAGCACCCCACACAAAAATAATTGAAGATAACCTTGTTGTTCAAATCAAACTTCTGTCAGCTCAGTGTTTACGCATGAAACTGGAGCCAAATCTTTCCTCTTTTGTAGACATAAATTCTCCCTAAAAATCACGAATGAGTTTTGTGAAATTTATACAAGTCTGGCTTTCAGCACCATGATGGAAGACAACTGAGATTAAGAAACAAGGCCAATCATTTCTGGTTTGGTTTGGTGTGTTGTTTTTGTTTTGTTTTTTGTTTTTTGTTTTTTTTAATCCAGCTAGTAGGACTAAACCCACATCTGGAAAAATTCTCACTAAGAGAAACAGACCAAGTGCTAATTCTACTTTTTTATTCCGCTTTTATAAATTTTAACTTTGGCGAGATCAAGAATTTGCAACATCTTCCATCATAAAGATTAACTGTGACAAAAATGTTTTTAAAACAGGTTACAAGATTATAAAACAAAAATTATTTGAAAACAAAAACCAAACAGAAAATACTGTCATTTTTCAAAAAGCAAGTACTGAACTAGGAGGACTAAACACTGTGGTACAGAAACTGACTTTAAGGAACGGTCGTCTTGCACAGAAAACAACTCCAAACCCATGATTATTACTGCTATAATTCTGATGATCAACATATACAATATTTCAGGTTACTTGCATGCAAAGTGCTTCCTGCCTCTGCCTACCTAAATTCTGGGAGCATCACAACCGGGAGAGAGTTTGCTTTTCTTTTAAAAAAACCCAGAAAATCCATTTTCATATATAAACAATTCTTGCTACGTAAGAGCTCCAAGAGATCATTTAGGCCACCTAGCTCCTGAGGACATGACTAACTATACCTATATTATTTCTCATACCTTTACCTCCTGTTCCTTAAAATATCCAGCAATAGATCATTGAAGAGCAGGGACTCGTGCTTCATTGTGACTATACAAAAACAGTTGACAGTCAGAATGGAAAGCACTCCGTGCCAATGGGAAGCCCTACCTCTTTTTAGTGCAGTCTGGATATGGAAAGTGGTGTAAGCTGGTGCAGCACAGATTTCCAACTGACTACCTGCAGAATGAAATCCAGGCTACAATCCCACTGACTTGAGTAGGTCAGAATTTCATACTTAAAGTACGGAATATACAAAACCAGATCACCAAGTACTACATACTGAAGAAATAAGAAGTCAGAGTATTTTCAGCAAACTCAAATTCTCTACTGAAGTTTCCTGCAACTGTGTGATTCTTGCAATCACACGACTACACCTATCTGCAACTCACACTTCCCTCCCCGCCTAGCCTCTATGTTGAACTTGCATTCATAGTAATAGACAGGAATAGTGTGCACTGTCTCCTTTTCCAAAAGCAGAAAGCGTACACTACCAGTCATGATTACTTGGCATGACTCCAACACAATCTTCAAAATACAAATATTTAATAGAAAATTTAAATTTAATTTTACAAAGTACAGATACAACACAACCCAATGTAGCAAAATAATGGAATTGAAAAATAATTTCAAAATATTTAAAGCATTAGGTTCTAAAATAAATAATGCTATCTAAAAGAAGATTAGATTAGGAGGAGGCAGTTCCACTACTACTGATCTCTTTTTCAACTCCTTTACAAGTTCCATAATTTATGTAGAAAAATATACAAGAAAAGAATTTGGGGATAAAGAATAGCTTGGGTACGTAACATTTAACTTAAATAAAAAGCCTAAAGCAAAACCAAAAAGAAAACCAATCCTTTTATTTCTGTACATCAAGACTACAAATAGTATTTTAACACTTCATTTATTACCCAAATTAAGAAATTATACATTTTTATATGGTTACTAGTAAACATCTTAAAATCACTCAGTTTCCCCACATTTAAAAGGATATTGCTCGTTACTGCTTATTAAATATGAAATCCAACAGAGTTTCCAGTAACAGCAAAATATTTTTTTGCATAAGAGATGAATACAAATTTGATTGTAAATTTTGATGATTTAAAATATAAAACTAAAGTTCAGAGGGATGCACTTAAGAATCTTAGTTTGAACTGTAATTCCTTTTTTGAATTGACTGCAGTTTGCATACGAATACCCAATGATGTGCCTACTACTAGAGGATCAGTTCCTTCCATATGAAAACAAATTTCTTCCCAGATATCAAATTATGTTAAGCAGCATATTCCCACCTTCTTTTCTTAGCAGAAACACTGCAGGCATAAGATATAAAAGCTGTTTAATCACAAAAAAATAATGAATTTGACTAGTGTCTACAGCACAGATATGGTATTTTAAGATGGAAAGAAATGATGGGGAAAAGGAATGTGAACACCACAGGCTTCAAATATAAAAGATAAAGCCTGATAACTTTGGTTCAAATAATTTAAATAGCTGTTACATGTGTATTTTTCCAAAGTGATGACTTTTGTATGTACTGTGTATGCAATAGGAGTCTGATACATTAAAAAAAAAAATCTGTACAGGCACAACAAACAGAAACAGAACAGAGAAAACATGGATAGTCACATCCATTCACAACAGTGTTCAAGTGATAATGACACAGCCAAAGGTTGAGCTTAAAATAATGCAAATCCAATTTCTCCAAGGTATTTCAGAAAGCACAAATGGAATAATATAAACGTTTTATCTCAGTGCCTACCATCTTGAGGGAAGGTAGTATAAAACAAAATCAGTTCTGCAACAACTATGATTTGTAAACAATTTGTAGAATTGTTTACAATTCTACAATTTACAATGTAAGTAAAGATGTTAGGCTATCGGTAATGAGCATTTTCATCCTCTCAGTTCTGGGATATCTCCAAACATCTGCTTCACTTCCATCTAAAAGATTAATTACAGGATGTTAGCCCTGTCTCATCCCAATGCGCTGCATGGTACACAACTTTATTGCCAGTTTGTGAAATTGTTTATGTTTGAACAGCACAAAGCCAAAGCTTCATCTTTGGTTAATTTCACTGAGATGTGACTGTTCTTTAAATGTGCTCTTTCTTCGCATAAACACAGAAAACAGCCACACTGCACACAGCATTCATTGTTTCGAATCATAAAGCAGTGTCAATGTAATATTAATTAATGAAAGCTAACTAAGAAATCGTGTTTTAAAATGAAACCTATTTGAGGGCATTTGATAAGACACAAGAGCTGCAGAAATCTAGACAGAATTCCCTTAAAACTGCTCGAATATGAGTGCTGCTTATAGAGTAGGCACTGGTTAGTTCCTCTGCAGATCATCCAAATAAGCATCAGTTCGACTCAGCTTAATTCAAATCCAGCAGCACATTCAATGGCATAAAGAAGCTTGCTTCGCATCAGATTTTCGTCATAAAACTCAGGAAGCTTCAGCAAGTTCATGCAGGTACTGGCAGTAGGTAGCCTGTCTAAATCAGATCCTCCGTTGTGAATGCAAAATGCAGGATATAACTCCTGAAAAAATGCAACAGAAAAAATATATCAAAAATACAGACAAGCTAAAACCTAACCCATAACAGCTGGCACAGATTTCTAGGAAATAAATCATTAGATTAAAACCTGTCACAATGACATACTCAAATGGTGTTTTCTTTCATTCCCGATGGCCCCAAAAGCACTTTTAAAGTGTGTAGTGCCTCCCTCTACCTTGTCCCCACCACGATCCATTAATTTGCAAAACACAGAGTAATTTATTTGGTTCTAAGGAAAAAATAATAATTAAGTTATTGTTCAGTCTATTCTGCAAATTTATGATGCTACAAAAACAGCGAAACACAAAATAGGAAAAGTAATACAGGAGCATGCAAGAATTTTTTTGTTTTATTTGGGAGAAACAACTGGGATTCACAACTTCAGACTCTCCTTACGAAGCCTCCCAAATGTCCATGGATGCTGTTTATTTTGTAGGGACAGGAAAATGATGGGTTCCTGCTACACTGAAGTTTTCTGACAGTGAAATACATGCTGACCACAGGGAACAACAGACCACTAGCAGTGACGGAGGTAAACGGAAAAGGATGTTCTGTCATGTTTGTATGACATACAATATTTGTCATTGTATAATACACAGCTTCTTCTGAGAATCGTACTTTCTGTTTTTTTTTCTTTCTAGGCAGGGAAGACATTGTTCCTGTATACACAAAAATCCCAACAAAGGCAATTTTGCTCTAGCTAATGAAGTCATGTGCTATGCCAGTTATAACATTCTTCTGTTAGAGTTTAAAAGTATTCCAATTCTATGCACAAATTCTACACGAGCGTTTACTTGTCATGATAAAGGGATGCCCTGAGGAGAAAGAGGATGAATGAGCAACCAGAAACCAGATCTAAGAACAAATTTGATCAAGTTGTAGCACTACACCAATTTCTTTCTGTGACATACACAAAAAAAAAAAAAAAAAAGGCAAAACATCCCAAATAAACTACGCTCAAAAACACCCTTTCAGTGTTTTCCTTCTGGAACTTCAGTTTATTAGTGTACCCTAGATATATAAAATAAATTCTTCAAGTGGATGACTATCAAGCCATCATCTTCCTTCTATGCACCACAATACAGAATGATATTTTGTTAAAATCAATTGTTTGCTACAACGCTAAAGGCATTTCTTGCCCTAAAGTGATTTCTGTCTAAACTAATCTTTCAGCAAGCGTACGATTTATGAATTTCACAACAAACAGTACTAATGACTTCAATGGATCTGTTCATGTATAAGATTGAGTATTTACACTACCATGGTCTAGAACTCTGAATCAAGAGGTACTTTATATTCTCCAAACTTTATTTAAAGCAATTATACTCAGTGTTTCTTCAGAGAGTGATTATAAAGTCACTCAGCTGTTATTGGGATGATATTGACGTGCATAGTGAGTCAGTAATGATATAAACTTGTCAGGCCCTGATTATTCTTCTGATGTGGTAACTATTGATCTGAGGAACAGACTTTTAAGACATTTTGTCTGCAATATTTAATTGTTTTAATAATATCTGATGTTTTTTCTTCTGAGAAAGAGTATAGTGAAAAATGTATTTATTTGTTACCTCTAAAGCACTGCTTTTGCTGGCAAGAAAGTATTCGTTTTATCAAATGCTTGCCTGAGGTGAAACAGTTCTGATTTTAGAAACTGGAAAAAAATCTCAGCTCCAAAGGCAAAAGGTCAATGAGATTCTAAGCTAAATTATTGTTCAAATGGAGGCCTTAAAAGTATTTCATGGCTAAAATGCTGCATTTTTAGTGTTCCTTTCAAAATGGTAATTGAATTCCCCTACTCTAGCTTTAAAAATGGAAAAATGAAGTTCTAAATTGAAATGTCATGCCAAGGGCACCATTTGTTGCATAATTAAAGACTATACAGCAGGAAACTGCAATAGTTTGGACGTGAAAAGTATCATCAATTTATTATGTGACCTGATTGGAACTTAACAATTTTCAACCATGCTTTAATGATTTTTTTTTTGTCTGTAACAATCACATTTATTAAACTTACTAAACTTTAATTAGCTTTAGTAAATGTTATTCTGAGTCTGAAACTGTCAGTGAAAGTTTAAAATTTTTAAATGACACAAAGCTACACTGTGTTATCTATAAACTATGAATGTTAAGACATTTCCTTCACAGAATCACAGAATCGATGAGATTGGAAGAGACTTCTGGGATCAGAGTCCAACCTTTGCCCTAACACCACCATGTCAACTAGACCATGGCACTAAGTGTCACATCCAGTCTTTCTTTAAAACACTTCCAGCGATGGCGACTCCACCACCTCCCTGGGCAGCCCAGTCCAATATTTAATGACGCCTTCTGTGAAGAAAGGCCTCCTGATGTCTAACCTGAACCTCCCCTGGCGCAGCTTGAGACTATGCTCTCTTGTCCTGTCACTAGTTGCTTGGGAGAAGAAAGCAACCCCCACCTCACTACAACCTCCTTTCAGGTAGTTGTAGAGAGCGATCAGGTCTCCCCTCAGCCTCCTCTTCTCCAGGCTAAACAACCCCAGCTCCCTCAGCCGCTCCTCGTAAGACTTACCCTCCAGACCCTTCACCAGCCCTTCTCTGGACTCACTCTAGCACCTTATCTTAAATTAACACGCACTAACTTTTAAGTAAACATGAAGGTTCCATGATATAAAGCGTACAGAAGATTTCAGAGTGAGAACTAGAAATTGTGTACCTCTCAGAAAAATATAGTACACACACCAAAAACATAAACAAATTTTGAAGATAGCTTGTGTTAATGTCTACCATCAACGTAAATATATTCAGACATTTATTTGGCTGGTAATATTCAGCACTCCTGCAGCTTCGCACTCTTCACCTTCAAAGCTCTAAACACACTGTCACAGGCTACCAAAACATTACTGCCGATGACAATACCAGTTACCCACTTCCTTTTCTGGCAAACATTCCCCTGGTTTGTTGGTAAATCCATGTTAACAAGATACTACTGCAAGCACCATGCAAGTGCTGACCTAACTCCCACTCAGCGCTGCCCAGTAAAGCAGCAGTAATGCCTCTTCACTCCACTTTCTGTTGCCAAGACTGTTACACGTGGCTGAGCTCAGAAATCTGTTGTACAGTGAACTAATCTTTTAACTTACAGCTATCATGCTGAAAATTTGATGACTATTTTACTTTCATTTTTTCCTAGCCAAGTATGTTAAAGTCAGGTTGTGGGCCATCTCCCAACTACATGCACAAATTTCAGCTTTCCACGTTTAGCTTCTTTCTAATGTGTCACTGTCAGCCTCAACATTTTGAGAGTTTTGATTCACTTCCTCCATCTCTTCAAATGTCACGCTGGCTACCTCAAAGCTCGATAGGTGCATCTGCATTTCCTCCTCTCCCCTTGTAATTAAAAAGGATGACATCAAATGGAGACTTCCATTTACTTTGTTTCCATGCAACTGTTCTTCAGTTCTCCCTTCATTACATGACTGATATGCACTGTTCTGCCTTGGTCTCATCCCACAGTTTTCTAATTCTTCTTCCCACTGTCCTATAAAATCCTATTTGTTGTTAGAGTACTGTTACAGTGATATTCACACAGATTTGGAGAGTTTAAGAGAAATGCTTGCAGGCTTTTAAATAATCAATCACATAAATCAGTTAATGAATACCCTAGATAGGATTCATGTGATTAAACAACCACCTCCGTTGTCTCCATATCCAAATCTCGTCACCCCAGATACTCTTTACTGTTAAAGGGGATCTAGTTAGTATGTTTTGTGGAGTCTAAGACATGATTCATTTCATCCTGAAGCACACACGGAAGAGTCAGACAAATTACCGACTGAAAGTGCCAATTCCTCTCCGAGGTGCCTATAAAAGGTGTGTAGCTGAGCTACAGATTATACATATTGAAGTTGGAGGATACATTGCCTATGCACATGCTAACAGCACCACACAGCACTTGCTACAGCAGCTGAAGGGATTATGCAGAGGGTGACACTGCACAAAGGGTTACAGAATGACTGTAGCAAAGGGAGGTTTAAATGACCACATGCTGCAATGGCAGTGCTGCACACCTGTATTGGCTTACAAAGAAATAGGAAAATAGACAAAAAGGATTGAAGAGGGAAGAGAATGTGAAGTCGTAGCAGAAGGGGACACATGGAAGTCAAGGGAAAAGGGCCACACTTCCCTGCAGAATGGGGCACTAGAAACAATTCTTCCACTTCAAAATCGCTCTGCAGTCTGAAAAAAAGCAGTTGTTTAAGCTACTGGGAGTATTCCAATAGCAACTCATCCACATATTACTGTATGACAAACCACATACGCTTTTATATATTTTAAATCATTCAAGTGTCAGAGGTCTGTGTCTTGAGATCACTGTGATTTCAATACTGGAGTGTCTTCTTGTTTGTTTTCCTGAGGAAAACTGTTCTTATGAAAACAGTAAGCATTAAAAGTTTGAAAATTCTAGAATGAATTTTGTTTAATTCAATAAGAGAAAACCAGTGATAAGTACTACAAATGTCTGAATTGTGTGTGTGGAAGAAGGTGGGGGTTTTTGTTTCATTTTTTACTTCTGACATCCTTATCATGTGTCAATCCCAGGACACATCACAGGAAGGGGCCCAATTCCTAGAGCTGAGGAGAAATTCTTCTAGCATTTGCCTTTCATGTATTTTTTTAAATGCTGATTAAAAAACCCAAACAAACCCCCCCCAAAAAAATCCCACTAGAATGAACTTTCAGAGTATGATTCGAGAAAAAATAGTACAGAACTCCAAGTATTTTGTTTCCACCTCCAGACTATTATGTATATCTGAATTCCTTGCTCCTACATGAAATGTTAGTATCTGTCCCTGAAGTATTTCTATAATGAGAAAATGCTCACTCAACACCACTTATTTTACAAAACAGCTAATAAACCTTCAGGGCTTACACAATACCTGCATTCATTTCTTATGGGTTCATCTACCTATTTTACATAATAAATGTAGGAAATCAGTTAATTACTGCTAATTAAATATTGTCCCACAGTACGTTATAAAGTGAAAATTTACTAAGTACATGTACTCAAATTTTGTTTAGCAACAAATCTTGTTCTTACTTGTAAGGAACTGGATGATGCAATGCCTGTATTTGTTCCAGATAAGACCATCTTTGTATTAATTTTACTAAATAGTACAACAGTAAACATGCTGTTCACCAGTGTATTAAAGGTGATAGTGTTACTATGAAGCAATTTATTCTTTTATTTTTTTTACAGAAAAGCATCGAATGTTCCCACATTTTAGAGGAAATGAAGTCTGTGGCCGGTTCTTAGCCAGAATTTTGCAGCCCAGCTGAAACTCATGAGTAGAACATCCTCAAAATTTAGTTTCAAAATGTCTTCAACTTGCCTCAGCCTCTCTTTAGTTTTATAAGCAGTGGACAAAAGTTTTCTTCATACTTAAGCTTCACAGTAAATAGCAATCTAAAGATAGCAGAAAAATATTTAGATACAAAGGGTAATGAGCTGTGATCCTATAAGCAGATAAACAGTAACTAGACAGAAACACAATACATCTCCCACTTCAAGTGGTTAATTGAAGCGGTTCAAATTTAATAGGTGCTTTTATATCCTAAATCCTCTTTTGCCTCATTTAAAAGACATTCTTCTTAAATCAACCTGTTCTTTGAACCTGGTAGCAGTAACACAAAACAGCAGCAAGGATCTTCCATGACAAAGAGTAAGTGCTCTAACCAATGTGTTTCTAGGCTTATCAAATTTTGCTGTTGAAATGGAAAAAAAAGAACAACATTTCATTAAATATTTTAAAATCATACACATTATACATGCAAATGCAGACACTGAAGTTGTTTCTGTAATCACAGAGGAACATCCTTCTCAAACTGTATATTCCTACAGACAAGAAGAACTTGTATCATCATCTACAGTATTTACAAAAATTTGCTAGGAAGTCAGGAAGACATATACCTTAAACCCCAGAAGAGGCGGTCGAGAACAGCTTGTTACAAACTTGAGTAGTTTGCGTTTCTCTTCATCAGTGAAGCTTTCTACAACTCTCCAGAATATTTTAATTACAGGATGGTCTGCTGTGTAGCCACCTATAATGAGAATTAAATGATTTATAGGTAGAATAGTTTTATAATGAGACTTAAATGATTTATAGGTAGAATAATTTTATCTAAGAAATACAATTCTTCAGAAAATCTAGCATCAATCTTGAAAAGCTTGGGGAAAATATAACCAGCCGGCTTACACTGCTGATTTCCAGTATCTATAGATCTCTTTGATCACTGCACTTTGAGTTTCTCATTCACTGCTTACCTAACCACAGCTACTATCACCCTCAGCTTCTTAACTGCAGTTTTCTTCACTGAATCCTATTTGTTTATTTTAAATTTATTTTATTTCATTTAGTGTTTACCTAGTAACTTCGGATTTACTGCCTTTTACTCCAAGAGTTTCCAAAATCTGCAAACTCAGGATGTTATTTAATCTATCAGCTTACCTTGAGGTAAGCTCAGATGTAAACTGATGATATAAGTGGCTACTTTTTGATTACATTCATGATAAATGCAGGGGAAAATGAAGTAAGATTCCTTGCATTTCTCACAAGGCAACAACGTAAGCTCTCTCTTCAGGCTGAGAAATCGTACGTACCTGAATGCAGTGGTAGAAACAACTATCCCAAAGTCATTTGCAGGCTCATTTTCAGGGCAACCAGATAGAACCATTGACTAACATCCATTTAGAAAAGGAATTACATGTCCTCTAATTATCCGGCTATAAACTTGTATTTAGGTGTGCGAATAAAATAAACTGCATACCTATTATTTCCCAGCATTTGTAAAATTAGGTCATAATTTTACACAATCCTCTGAAATTCAGGCCTATCTACAGAGTTTGGCCAAAGTTAACAACGAAAGTTAAGAATGACACCACAACTTTTTTTTAAAAGCTAGGATAAAAAGCAAGTTTATTTATGCCTGAGTCAGTGATAATACATTTATTTATTTAAGTAAAATATGCTTACCTGAATAGTTTGTGAAAGACTTAAGGTCATCCAAACTAATAGGAACCTGGGCACCAGAAATCAGAACCTAATAGTGAATGAAATTAGACAGTTACATTACAGGCAAAAATTAGCATTTATTTCTGTTTAAAGCAACTGTTTTCTGCAGTTTTAAGCAGAAGTACCTGTATTTCCTGTTGATCAAACATTCGAAGCCATTCAAGATTCACAACATTGGCCAGTCCCTGCCGGAAAGCAAGGCAATGCTGTCGAATTTGTTTGTTTAACCTGTAGTCTGCCACCAAATGGATGTATGCGATTCGGTTAGCGCTGGTAACAGGAATATCTTTTCCACCTGGCTTCAGCTCAACCACCTACAAACATAATGATTTTCATCATCTTGGTAAACTTTAATTGTGTGCTGTAACCGTAAAATTGATAAAAGATTACGACAAGTTATAAAGGTAGGGTTTTTTCTGTCTGCTCCTAAGAGTACATTCTATGGCATTCAGTCTTTAGACCTAGACCTCCAGCTGATAATGCAGCTGACTGCATGGCCCCGTGTTTTTTTATGAGAAAGTGGATTAGGCAAAGTCAGAGCTGCTTCACAGAAGCCAGTGTGCAATACTAAATTCACCACTGCAAGTCAGATGGAAACTGAGATGAAAATCTTCCCCCAGCTTCACGGATGCTAATGAGTGCCCTAGAAGAGAAAGTAAGCTGTGTAAGCAGAGAGCTCACGCAGAGCGCTCTCCTTCCAGTTGGATTAGGAAAGTTGTGCTTGACAGACTAGGCTCTTCTCTAACTGTTTGGTGATTCTGAATTCTGCAGGATCACATTATTGGTAAAAACAATGTCTGCTAAGTCAAAATTAAGGTTCTAATACAAGCCTAATTTACAGAATGATAAGCATTCACAATTCCTACTGTTGAAAATCCAAGTTATACATGCTCAGTACTTTCAACAAAAGTAAAAAAATCAAAAAAAGTAAAAAACCAAACAACAAAAACCAAGCCTAAACCTTGTTTTTCTACTGACAAGCGTTAACTACTGTCCTTCAAGTACACCAAGATACCTCAGTATGGAAGAATTTTTAATGAAAAACTCCCAAAACCTAAGATACTGTCATTGCATTCAGATATAAACCAGGATCAAAGGTAGTTATTAAAACACTAAAGACCTTTACATATTCCACTCTTTACTACATGAGGTTAATTGTGTTGAGTAGCAGCCCAATTGGAAGGGATTATTAGAGTACTAAGAGGATTAAAAAAACTAAAAAGCTGAGATACTGTCACCTTCTGAAACCTTCCAAAAAAAAAGTTTGTTTTTCTACACTCTGAAGTAATTTTAAAATGTTTTTAAACAACCACGCATTTCAGTCTATGGTAACAATCACATCTTTAGAGCACAGAGAATTAAACACATGACTAGCTTCTTCTGTAACGTGCTAACTAATAATAAGAGCTGTTCTAGTACTAAGAAAAATGCAAAATGGTAAGATTAAAAATTCACAGTGCTTTTGAACACTCAGATTTTTACTTGATTCATAGCTTTTTAAGGTCGAAAAAGAACATTAAGATCTGTGAATCTGACCTCTCAGAAAACACAGGCCAGAGGATTCTGTCTAGGGATTCCTGTATTTAACTCAATAAATCCATAGATGAGTTAGAGCACATTTTTTAGAGAGGCAGGCAATCCTGGTGTAAAGACTCCACGTGATGGAGTATTTACCACTTTCCTTGATAAGCTAGAACAATCTGAATTACAATAGGTGTTAAAAAATATGTCTTACTTCCCACTTTAATCCTTCAGTTGCAAGCTTCTTGCTTTTGTTACACCTAGAGGGAAAAAACCTCATCAATACTCCACCATGTCTGTGTGCAGGTAGTATTGACTGCGCTCAAATCCTACTCCCGGAACAATTAAGTAAAATGAAAGTGTCAGTTTAGCTGACACCGTTTCATACCCTGCACACATTAGCTTGCTCCCTTCTGAGTAAGTCCCCTTCAACAAGGACCACGGAGATGAGAGGCAGGACAGCCTTCTCCAGGGTCCACCTCCTGCGGAGCCTGGCGTACGATGCAGCCGGCCACTCTGGGGGGTACAGGCCAGTGCCTGGTGCCACCAATTGGCCTGAGGGTGAGGAGATTTTCACTGGTAAAGCCCACAAGGAGCATTAATAGCAGTATGGGACATGTTCTGTACCACAGTGGAAACACCTGGTGAGAAGGGGCCCCTGCACTGCTAAGCCTTCTCCTCTGCTACTGCAGGCAACAACACAGTCTAGAAATGTACTGTGTTTCATCCCACTATAGTAGCTTTACTATTGTCACTGGCAAGTTAGTCAATATTCAGATCCATCTAATGATTAGAAACATTCTGATTTCCACTTCAAGTCCAATAGGTAAAGTTTGTTCATACCCATTGTTCTTATTTCAATATTGTCCTAAAGCTTCACCAGCTCTTTCCTTCCTCCTTGATTATATCCATGATGTATTACTTACGGGCAGCAACTTCATTAATCCTCCCAGAGATTTTTTCACTGAACTAAAATAAGTCAGGTTCCTTTAACTTCCTCCTATAAAATACCCTTTTACAAAGCCTAACCAGATCAGAAAGCTTTCTCTTATTTAAATTCCTGTCTTCTTCAGTGTTACAAGATCAGAACTACCAATGGTGTTCCACATGAACAGATCATTGTTGAGACCTCAACACCACTAATATTTTGCTGTCTGCCCACTTGTAAGATTTCTGTATTTGTTTTGCAGAATTGCATAATTACTTGTTCTTTTGACTTTACTTCACGAAATACAATTCCTCTTTTTGCAGTATGGACACATTGAATTTGGCCATATTAAAGCATATTTGTATCACCCAACTCATCAAGCTTCTCTTAAGAATACAGACACCAACCATAAACTAACTAATAGTTACTATTCCATTTGTGTACAATAATTTCTGTGAGCTTAGTATTTACATGCTTTAATTGACTTCCTTCCTAAAATAGCAAAAGGGAACTACTGGCAGGGTGTTCCAGAAAACTGCTGTCTTTTAAGAGTCATCCTGGCACGAGGTGAAGTAAAACGTCTAACCTTCCCTGCAGGTCAGCAAATAGAGATCAGGACACAGATTAATTTACGTTTATGTTGCATTATAATAGTATTGTCTCCACAGTGGGCTAAGGATGTCAGGAAAGGTGTATTCATTGTATAATAAAAGCTACTCTCTCTCCCTATAAAGCTCTTTCTGCAAATCAGAGTAAAAAAAAAAAAAAGTTTTGTACTCTTTCTGACCACTATTTTTAAAAAATCAGAAAATGTATTTTTTTAAAAAAAAATCCTATTTTTCCTTTTATTTTTATATTTTGAAGTAGCAAACCTTGACTTCTGATCCAGCAACACTTCTGTAGCTCCCCTTCCTCCCCACAACCCTGCACTGCCACAAGTAAGACTACAGCATTCAGTTATCCACACTTCCTGGGGTTTTCCAGTGATGTAACTATCCATTTTCAGAGTTTTTCAATGTAAGATTAATTCTACCACCATTTTGTCAAAGTACCATCACAGTCTGAAACAAATGGACTAATGTAGCAGGAATAATAAATATATTATGCCATAAAGGCTAAGAAGGACGTAAAACAGAAGACAGAAAATAATAACACTTGGTAGCAGTAAAACTATAGCAAATGTCGATGCAGTTCACTTTTTACTCAGTGTTTTCACGGTGTTTTAAAGGAACTATTGTAGAATTCCCACTTAATTCTAAATGGCAGGAATGATTGTTGAAGAGTGCCTTTTCAAAAAGGCCACAACACAGTTTATTACATATTAGAAGATCCATCACCTTGCATTTTTATTTTTATCCATCCAATTTTCGCCACTAGATGGTGCAAGATAATAACACAGGCTACACAAGATGGGCAAGAATAGAAAGCTACCCCAAAACGCACAGACTTGTTATCACCTTATTTTCTATTTTGTAGATCTAAGTTTAAACAAAAAAAAAAAATCATTTTAACTTGTCTCATTATCAAAATCACATATTTTAAAAGCAATCAAATCATACATATTACTTAGATAAGTATTCAGGTGATTCAGACAATACCATAGATAATTGAATTCGATTCCATACTCACAAAGTATGTCTTCAAAATGAAGGGGAAGTAGCAAAATTTTTAAAAATCAGTAAAATCTGTAAAATCAGTAGTACATTTTTAAAAATCAGCAAGAAAAGATGCTTCGGGGTTTTTAGTACTGTGGACAGAAGTATTGCATTATGTCCCTGACTGAAGGTTCGATACACTCAGAACTACGGTTGCATGCACTTACGATTTTCTTGGCTACAAATTCAATTATATGTTTCTGCAGGTACATACTGAAAAAAATGTGATCAACTTACGTTTACATTCTTATTTAAAAAAAACCACCACAGTTTGTAAAAATAAAAAAGTAAATCTCTACTTTATATATGGTTGCAGTTCAAGTGAACAGTTCAGGTGATCATTGTGAGTTATTATACCTACTATTTGGAGAACAAGTCTTACGAGGAGCAGCTGAGGGAGCTGGGGTTGTTTAGTCTGGAGAAGAGGAGGTTGAGGGGAGACCTGATCGTCCTCTACAACTACCTGAAAGGAGGTTGTAGCAAGGTGAGGGTTGGTCTCTTCTCCCCAGTAACTGGTGACAGGACAAGAGGAAAACGGTCTCAAGTTGCACCAGGGGAGGTTCAGGTTGAGTATTAGGAAGAACTTCTTCACTGTTAGAGTCGTTAAGCATTGGAATGGGCTCCCCAGGGAGGTGGTGGACTCACCATCCTTGGAGGTGTTCAAAAACCATTTAGTTGTGGTGCTTCGAGATACGGTTTAGTGGGTTTATCAGGCATGGTGGCATTGGGTATACGGTTGGACTTGATGATCTTTGAGGTCTCTTCCAACCATAATGATTCTATGATTCTATTTTGAACATTACCATAATAATGAAATAAATACACACCAAAAATCAGGAAAACAATGAATAACATAATATTTATCAAACAGAATTCAGGGGATTTATCTTCTGGGTTATTGATAATAATCTGTCACACAAAGTCAATTTGTAATATGATTACAGGCAAAAATGGCAAGTCTCTGTTGAGAGACAAACTTAATGCTAGCTGCTGCTCACACAGATCTGGCAGTGGCAGCTGCTTCCCAAGCTAATGGAGAAAAGGGGAATATTTAGGGAATAAAGTGAGAAATATTTTAGGAAAGAATCAGGGACCTGTCATATAGTTATTCTCTTTTTGTGTATGAAGACATAAGACATATCAAATCATAGAATCATAAAATCTCCAGTGCAATTTCAAAAGAGCACTCTTGTAGATAGTCAAGAACTCTTGCAGACTTGTTTTTAGGACAGAGGAAAATATTTTATCTTTTCTCTTGGGCTCTGATCACTTTTGTTCACATCACTTCTAAAGTTTTTCCCCATTCTGAAAGTAAGTCGATAAAGAGTTTTTTTTTTCTTTCCCTGTCATCTGCCTTCCAGATGTTTCAGGCAGGAGTTCCAGGTAGGAGATTGCATTTGAATGCCTAAGAATGCATTTTCCCTAAGTGTTATAAATCTGCCTGAGAAGGATCATCCTCAACTTAAATATTTTGCTTCTGAAAAAGCTCCAAAGCCATTCATCTAAGCAACTGTTGCCAAGACAGAAACCTTCAGAATTATTTTTAAGGCTTCAAAATTTTCTCTCAGGGAAATTTAAAGGCACAGAACTCTCCTTTAGTGAGTCAACATATTTTCAGTAACAACAATGGCATTCACATCTGTTTAAAAAGGCAAAGAAGGTGTCCCAACACCAACTTCTATACTATATGGATTTCATAGAAACTCCTGCTATACATATTATCGTGCTTTCCTGTGGATTTGTGCTTCTACACTTTATGGAGTCTTCTGATCATATTCCACTGTTCCAACCCATGTGATCTCAAGAATCAATGTTTGAGAAGACTCACTGGAGTACAAAATCTAATATTTTTCAAAGAAGATCTTCCTCTCTTCCCTTGGACAGCCACAAAACTTACCTTCGTCACTGGGGGCAGTGGGGGAGGAGGGGAGGGAGGTCTGAAAAGAGGAGGTATTTTCTTGAATTTGTTAACCTTACACTTATTGTAAGCACTTTATAACCATTTTATCACCATCTAATCTCCAAGATGAAAGGAAAAATAAGATCAATATACACAGCTACTTGAAGGCACCTGTAACTATAGGCTGACATTCTTTTGAGAATTTTTTAGTGGCCACCATTTTATGCAGCAGATCCAACAGCTGAAATCTAGGCTTGTATCACTGCACTAGACAGTTCTTTATCAAAAGCTAAAGCTATTTGGGGTTGGAAGATAAGGTTGATGGCATGGCTTCCCTAATTAGCAGGTCTAATGTGCAAATTATTAAGTACCTTTTTCAACTTCTGGTGAATGCACTTTGACAATAGTTTAATGGGATCTAAAAGCACATTACAGGATTGGAATCAATACGCTGATAATAGAATTTCTACCTTCTACTACTGACAGAGGCCACAGAGCCCCTTTTCAATGCGTCTTTCATTGCAGATAATGCTTTTGTGCCACAACTGCTGGATGGACACTGTCATGAGGATAGCTATTTACAATGATAGATTTATGATGCATTTATTGGGCACTAATTTATTAGACTCTAAAGTGGTTGTTTAGCGGAAAACTAGAGATAATGTACACTCAACATAAGGAGTGCAAATTAAGCTCTTTTCCCAAAATGAATTAGCCTTACCTTGACACAATTAATTAGAATGCAATGGTTATACAAGTCACATACCAGACAAAATGTATTTATCCATATGAAGTTTATTAAGGTAATGTAATGAAGTATAAAAAGTAACGTGTTGCATTAAAACACAGAAGATGGTGACAAGAACCAGTTAGTTCTGTTGAACTACACTAACATGCAGCCTCATTAAAAGACGGTTAATACTTCAGAGGTATAGTGTGAAGTTTATGCTATCCAAGTATAAACATAGCAAAACAGCATCAGAATATTTAATTTAACTTACATTTCATTTAGTTACTCAGAAACTTACTATTATATTTAATCTTTCCTTTAAAGTTATGCCAAACAATTAAAAATCAAAAGTCTTCATAATGCTAGCCATAGCCTCCAGAGAATTTTAACGAACAAATCGGGCTTCTTGGCAAGAATGTACTTTTTACAAGTTTTTGTTGCAGTAGGTAGAGCTGGCAACATTGCTAACTTTGATCTCGTTTTATGTTATTTCTGAGCTATTTCTCTTTTCTGTGTTTCTACCTTACTTGCTGAGGTCGGTTCTAACTTGTAAGGCTAATTTTTGAGGACATACAAAGTAAACGTATAAAGTACGGCAACCAAAATCTCTCCAGAAAATATTAGCTACTTTTAATTTTTAATTAGAGACTACACTGGATTTGTATTAGCTGTGATCAACAAAACTATTACTTTAAGTGCATTTAAATGAAAGGCTTTAGAATACCATCAACAGACTTCTTTTCCCCTATATTGAAAACTGTCATCTTGTGTGCTTTGCAACCTAGTAACCAAATACATGGACACTATAGACCTCAATTCAGTATCAATCACTTACAGCACATGCTCTATGGTACAATACCATACAAAACATTAGGCGCTCTAAGAATGTGCTTTTTGATACATCTGTATCAAATGCCTTTATCTCAAGTTTTTGAGTGTTTTTCGAAAGACAGTGAAGGTCAGAAGTTTTCATACAGGGAGTCTAACCCAAGGGAAAAAATGGCATACGACCTATGTTTAATATGAATCATTACTTGTATCAGGCAATTGTTGACTCTCTCCTTCAGTATGATTCAGAAACCCCAAATCTGAGGATACTTTTTAAAAACTGTAATGCAATCCAGGTTTTAGGATCTTCCAAAATGACAGGAAATGAATGACAGAAGAGTAAAGATGATATCTGAGCCCGATGCTGTTAAAGCAGAAGTCTCAGACATCAAACTAACCTAACAATTTCCAAAACTAGCTGCTGCATCTCAGTAGTGCTGCTGCTTCTGGGAGATGTGCATATAGTCCCAGGCTTCCCGGACCAGCAGGCAAACCCAGGAGAACTGCTTACCCCCTTTTATAGTCTCTCTCTCTTCCACAAGAAACAAGGCTGAATTCTGATGCTGTTGCATGTCACAATGTGCTCAGGTATACTTTTTTAAATTCAATTATTAATTAAATACCATAATCAAGTATAAGTAGACCATAAGTAGTACACAATCTTAAATCCTCAAAAATTAAAGAGGAAGCATGACAAAAGGCTTTAACTACAGAGTTTAACTGTATTAGCACATAAAGGCACACTTTTCAAGCTCTAGTGAAATTTATTTTCTACTATAAGTGATCTTTAGTACTCACAAAAGAGCAAATAAAATCCATAACAAGTTATATAGTACAATTGTGTTAAAAAACTCATAAGGACCTAAGTAACTGGCCCTAATTAACTGCTTTTCAGAAACATTGAAAACTCATTTCTTCCCTCTGACTCACCTGGTATCTCAACCCTTAAAAAAAAAGAGGGGGAGGGTAAAAAAAAAAGTGAAGGTCTAACTTCAGATCTTCTGCTTTGAGAATTACAGCTCAAGGAGACAATGCTTGTCTCACAATAAAGGGTCATTATTATTTAAAACTATTCCGATTTACATTTCTGATTCCAAAACCAGGCAGTACTTCTACAGTTTACATTATCATTGAATTTTTGCAATTACCTGAGGTGCAATCAAAGAAACAACATAAAATATGCTGTTCAAGAAATTATCTCAGGCAACTTTTCACGTATGACTGTTAGAAAATAATCACTACAGTTTACTACTTAAAAGACAAGACCTTTAAGTCATCACAAAACGTTTGGGTTTTTTTAAGTACACAATCAGTTATTGTCTACTCAAATACTGACTCAGAATCCCTATGATGCCTCACAACACACAGCACTTTAAACACTTGTTTCCTATCACTTTTAAATTAAAAAATGAATTAGTAGGGGTAGCAATGATTCATCAGTCATACACAAAAGAAAGCCATTCTTACCTGTGCTTCCCCAAGGTCATTATTTACCACAGTGAAGTTTAGTCCAAGTTCTTCCACATCCCCTTCATAGCTCTTGAGAAAAAGCAAGTTTTTGTACATTTCTGGATCTAGTGAAGCTAAATGATGAATGTCAACATCAGCACTTGTCCCCAGTAATTTTGAAAGGAAAAAACTAGCAAATGGCAGCTCCACCAGCATATTTTCATAAAGAGCCTGAAAAACACAGCAATTAAAAGCACATTAGATTTTATTGTTGTACATGCAGGATTTCTGAAGGCTATTGTCTATTTCTCAACCTTTTGGTAATTCCTTCTTAATTTGGTGCCTGAATAGGATCTTCTGGTATGGCAACAGACCAGATATTGCATGAATTTAAAAATATTCATCTGAAGTTTGAAAGTTGAATGTTCCTGTGAAATACCAAGCTTCTAAATTTTACAAATTAATTATGTGGTGATTTAAAAGGTAAGATCACTGCTTATCTGTCATTAATCTTCTTGTTTGAAGTATGAAAGCAAGAGGAAATGTGTCAATTGCACAGATTGGCAAGAAAAGCAAAATTTGCTAAAGGATATTGCAACTGCGTCAAGAATGTCTTCCAAAAAAGGTTAACATCTCTACCTCCATTAGCATCGTCACAAGCAATATTTTTCCATTCATATAAATTGCTACATGTAAAATAGTCTGCCCCTTAAAAATAACTGTGTAAAATCAGTACATTTTAAACTAATCCAAACAAACTATTTCTCTTGCATGTTACACAGATTCATCGCTGCATATTTTTGGTAAATTCTACTGCTTAACGGCACCATCAAACCATCCTAATTTCCAAGCCAAGAGCTTACCAGTTAGGACCGTAACGTATGTCCAATCCTTCCTATGCCTCACACTGTTACACCTTTCAAAACATTACTGAACCAAAAATGAGCCTGACCAAAACATGCAGCACTCATGAAAAATGTATTCTTACTGTAATTCTTGAGCTTCCTCAAGAATTTTCAAAAATGCACAAAACTCCCAGCAATACCACTCTCAGTTGATCTACTGTAGGACCACATTTCAAGCTAACACAAAGCAACTTTGCATATTTTTCACACAGTAAGTAACTTCTTGCTGACGAAGAAAGAAGTACTTATGGTAGCTCTCAAAATAAGGAAATGGAAACTTCAGAGCTAGAAAGAGAAAGCAAGATATCATTTAGAGAAAGCCTACATGAATAAAGGAAAAATAAAAGACTGTTGCCTTTAAAAAAAAACATTCCTGAAACGTGCTGTCTGTGCATAGCCTTTCCCATTGTCCAGTTTGTTTGCCACATCAGCATCTCTAACAATGATGACCAAATCTTTACAGCATCATTAGTATCACTGTCAGGCTGATCAGAAAAGGCATCATCATAACATTGTTTGTTCTCTTCTTACTCTTCAAGAGTAGTGTTTTGGCATTACTTAAGTCCGTCATAATCTACTGCTAACTTAGAAAAGGAAGCACAATGAGTAAAAAAAGTTAAAAAGAAGAATAAATATAGCTGTAATCACTCAATGATATTCCAACAAAGGCATTAAGAAAAATATAACTTTTGAAAGAACATTTCTATGAGGTGAGTTAGACCTTGCAGAAAGAATTGAGAATAGTGAGTTCAAAGCCAAAGGCTGCATTATATTTAGAGCTATATGATTTATTCAAGGTGTAGGAGTCGAAATCCTCATTTGTATAGTTGACTTTAAAAGCAAACTAGAGGGATAAATCATTAATTTGCAATGTATAAGGTCAGTGTTTGCTGTTCCTGCATTAGTAACAATAAAGCCATTGTAATTCCTTAAATATATCAAAGCTACCCGAATTTAAAATGGAATTCCATCTATGACTCATAAAATGTAAATGTAGAGGTGTAATTTTTTACACAAGGCAGGTTTAAGCCTTTAGAGCATTTAATATACAAGGACTAATAAATGATAGCACTAAAAACTATGATCACATCAGCTAAATGGATTATAAATTAAATTTCCATAATGTATGCAACTGAAATACAAATGTAGACATAAATCAAGGTATTTTCTAAACACAGGTTAATTACACAAATTCAAAACCTGTCTATTTTTTATGCAAAATAATCCACTTAGCATTTTTCAAACTGGTCTCAAGTCTTAGCCACTTGCAACACTTGATCCTAGAAGCCTATCAATAATTCCTTGTCAGGAAAACAGCAATAGGTATATTGAAGAAACTTGTATGTTATTTTTCAAGTGTCCGTCTTTTATGAGTGTTTATTGCTAGAAATTGTGCCAAAATTATTTGAAATAAAAAGGATTAATTATAGTAGAAGCTTTTTAATATAAGTGAGTGCAGCTGCAATGCAATTAATGCAAATTGTGATGCTATCAGGAAAATAAATGTGAACAACATCACTGGCTATTTCTGTTTGCTGCCAAATAACTTGGGTAATTTACTACATTAAGAATCAATAAAAAAATAATGCATTTCAAATGCACCACTATTAATCTTCAGGTAGTTCCAAAGTGAACATTTATAACTTCATCTAAAAACTATATAAAGCATTTTTAAATAAACTAAATTGTGCAACTTGACAATAACTTTAATTACTCCTTCTCTTAGCTAAGTGATTGCAATATTAAAAACAAAGTATTTTTGGAAACAAGACAAACAGTAGTGTTTTAATTAGTTTCAAAGTCAAGCTATCCTAACAAAATTTAATGAAAAAATGCACTAAAACTCTGATAAATAAAATCATGATAAACTTTTTGTTTCAAAGAGGTAAATTACACCATTACAGCCCCAGCACCGTGCAGAGATGCTGAGAAATGCTGTGTACAATTGAATATGACTAAATAAACTGAAACTTTATTTTCCAGTTTCCATTTAACTTCCCTGTTTCTCAGACAGCATACACTGATCAAACTACCTGTTGCTGCCAAAAGATGTGATTCCACCCATTCCTGCCAGAGTGATAAAACAAATCATCTTGCTGATTCAACTGGGTTTGTTCGCAAGTACGGTAGTTGCATAGTAAAGGTGACATGGGCATTACAATATGCTGAATAAGGCTCAAAATTTGCAGGTTGTGTTGTGCTTCTTTGGGATGTTGGTTTTGGGGGCTGGGGTGGGTGTTGGTGGACCCAGCACAGACACTGTTTGAAACTGAGCCTTCTTTCAAATCAGAATCAGATCCAGCTCACAGCTATGGCTGAAATGGAGTAGGAACAGCAAGACCATTTGTTTCAATAGGAGCACAACCTTAGAGAAGCCACTTGCCGCCCATGGAAGTCCACTCTCACAGGTATTTTTCTTACTGCAGCTAATCTAATGGCCAAAAGGGGAGATTCACTCCTTCCCTCTTTTCCCTTAATGAACTGTCTTGGGAAGCTGTAAGGTATCTGATTTTAAGCTTAGTTTTCTGCCTGTTGAACTCTCTGAATTGGCCTTCTGCAACATCAACATAAAGGAGGCAGGACCCCAGCATCAGTGACAGGCAAAGGAATGGTGACCACCTCTTACAGAGGTAACCAGCTGTCAGATTAATTATCTGCAATATGAAGCTGCACCATTAAAATATCCTTTTTATATATATTTTAATACCATATAAGGTCACGCTCTCCCCACAGAAGCAGTCCTCTTCTTTTCCCTCAGCAGCCAATGAGCAACAATGCTGATGGAAGAAACTGGCTTGCTCTTGGAGGGAGGTGACTTCTCTTTGACAGTAAGTCAGAAGTTCCTGTTCATACACTGCCTCAAGAGATCAAAGCCAACAAGCTTAACTAAGACATATTTTAAAACTAATCTCTTCTCAAACTTCAAGTACTCTCAACTCTTTGGCAAGTTTCCTTTAAGTCTTATGGTCATCACCTATGGGAACGCTGCCATTCTATGATGAATTCTGAGTTCACGTTCCCAACTTTCCTATCTAATGAGCCCCTTACTTGACTTCATTGTCTCTATCCTGCAGTCCCATAACTGCAGTTGACTTACATAAAGTAAAAAAAATCCAGATAGGAAGTCATGAAAGGAGCAATTGGTGGTCAAACATGACATTAGACTTCTAGTTCCGGGAGGGGGGCCGACACACAACCAAACACCTTAACAGAGACTATATACCTCTGCCTCCTCGAAAGGCTGGGAGTATTAGCATTCCAGCTTCACAGAAGCGCAATTTGCAGATGCAAGCTTGGGGCAAGAGGCTACTCTGAAGCAGAGACAGGGAAGTCTACATCAAGGGCAATCACACAAGCACTGTAACATTCATAGGGTGATGCACTCCGAGTAGCTAAAAGTCTGCTGAAAGGGCCAACCTCCATTTCCCAGAATTATTTCAAATTCATGTAGGTTAGGGATGCTCTTTAGGCAAAGTTATGACATCTCTAGATAACCATTAAAATAACTTAAAAGCTCCTGAAACAACTAAACAACACAAAGCAAACAAATAAATCTGGTTTTTGGTAACAATTTATTTTTGGTACTCTTCACCCCAGTGTTTCCTCAATTATCTCAAGATGCCTTGCCAGCCTGTTTGGTTTGGGGTTGGGTTTTTTTTAGTGGTTTTTTTTTGTTTGTTTGTTTGGGTATTTTTGCAGGGGCCAGGGGCAGGTTTGGGGTTTTTTTTAAATAAATGGTTAAAAGAAGTTCTTCCTGGTTAAAAGGCTGAGAGCAATTATTTCACTATGGAAGAAGTAGTAGCCAGTAAAAGGAACTTCATACCCCTCCCTCCCCCTGTGTGTCCAAATGCCTGTAGAACACAACAGAGTATTAAAACAAGCAAAGTAACAGAAAGCGTACTGTGGTTAATAGGTTTTGACTTCACACACAAAACACGCAGTCTGAAGTCTACTGTTTCTCTTTTAAATAGCATTAGCTAGTTGCGATTACAGTATAGTTCAACTATAATTGATTGCAACACAGACTAGCTACAAAAGCCTTTACTCAAATTCAGACACAGATCTCAACTTGGTCATTTGAAGTGACAAATACTATGTTCAGCTACTTACAAATATACTGAACGCATTCACTAAACACCTGTGACGCGGCGGAACAAGGAATAGTTCTTTAAAGCAAGCAACTTTCAGAATACAGGCATGCAATTAGTAACTTTAATGTACTATGGAAGAAAGATGTCAGCTGGAAGGACAGCTGTATACAGCACATAGTAAGAAAGGAAGAAAAATGACAGAGTTCTCTGGGCAAGGAGGACTTCTCTCTTGTTT